GAAACATACTGATAATTATTTGAAGGAGTTGTATGTCAATATATAATGCCATACATACATTTGTAAGAGATCAGAGCCAGTGTGCATTTCAGTAAGAACTTAAGAAAACAAATGTTTTTAATCTATACAACTGATTGAAAGTCCAGATGTAACGTGTGCAGTTTAAACCAATACTTCAACATACTTTTTTTTTTCTATGATAGAATGGGGGTATCTTGGTGGATGTAGATATTGCTCAGCATTCAACTGTCATAAGCTTTTCTGATTACCATGAGGGATGTGCACCTGCCCTAATAATAAACCACACACCATGGGACGTCCTCACATACAAACAGAGGTATGGAAAAAAAGGGCTCCTGGAAAATCGGATTTGCTTTTACGGGTCCACAGTCCCTTCTAGGAAATACGTGGAGCTAGATGTGTTTCATATTCCACATGTTTTCAGATTTTAGAAAGGTAATAGGGAACACATGCTATTTATTACTAAAACCCCCAGCAGGTTTTGAGTCAGTCTTTAACCAAACATGTTAATATTTCTGCAGCAAATCTTTGCATATTCATAACAAGTGGAATAAATAAAACTGTTAATAGTTTCATGTCTGCTCAGATCAAGTTTTGCTGCCAAATGACTTCTGACACCAAACTTAGAGAAGAATATTTAGACTTCTGGAGCTTGTTCAATTTCTGAATTGTGTATAAGGAATTGTGAACCTCTTTAAGCATTATCATTCTTTTGTAAGCTGGTGATGCTCAGTGAACCTCTCCCTATAAATCCATATCTAGATTTTTTTGAGGGAGTAGTATAGAAGAAGATTAAGTAAGAGAGCAGAAGATTAAAGAAAATTAAAGTAAGTAAATAGTGTTGAATGTATAGTACAGGTTAATAGAGATTTTGTTCTTTCCTTGCTATCATTTGGCTTGGACGATGCCATTAAATAATGATATAACAGATAGCTTTAAATCCTTAAAATATATGATATGTGTTTGCAAAGAATTATTATCATAAATCTGCAAGGCATTATTTTATACATTTATATGTATAACTAATCATAGAAATAAATATACATATTAAAAATAATGCTTTGCAGATTTACCTATTCTTCACTCTCATGGCTTGAATCTGCTGAGAGATTAAAAAGCATAGATTGGGATTAAAACCTAACTGAGTTACTTTTTATTTTATTGTAGTTATCTGGAAAGTGTTTTGTATTTTTGAAACCAGTACTTGTTAAACTTAGGGATCAATATGAAGATCTCTTGGAAATCTTGTTAAAATGCAGATTCGCATTTAGCAGGTTTTAGCTGGGGCCCCCAATTTTGCCCTTTCTAGCAAGCATAGAATGCTACAGTGGTATGGACCCATTTTTCTTCTCTCCGAGACTCATATTTCTTATGCATTGCATTTGATCAAAAGTCTTAAATTTAAGCTCCAAGTGAAGTTCTTCAGCTACTAAAAAATTTACTATTCACAGCCTTTTCTGTGGGTGATCTCTGATGTACCACTCACTTCACCTTAATGAATTCCATTAGTGTGATCTTGTCTGGATCAGTTCAGGGTATACCTTCAGAAAGGGCAGTATTCTTGTCCCTCAAGCTTCAAAATCATTAGCTTATTGGACATTTTAGGTTACTTATTTTTAGACAGAGTTGTGTTTTGTTAGCAAAGGAAGTTCTATAAGATGTTTGTTTCAATCCCCTCCTCAGTAAGCCACAGGTCCTGTAGGATTCTCGAGGCCAGGGTATTTTAATCTTCCCTCTGTTGCTTGTGTTTCAGGGGGTCGCAGGAAGAAATGGTACTGCTGCCAAGACAGGTTCGACTCTTTGCCTGGGCAGATCCTACTGGTACCAGAAAACTTACATGGACTTACGCAGCAAATACTGGGGAACATGATCTGTTAAAGGTATCATTTGATGTGAAC